TTGTTTGGTGTTACTGTTTTTTTTTTTCTCTTTTTTTGCCAACATTCATATATTTCTTAATAAAGGGTTGTTATTTCTTCTGTTTTTCCACATTTTCCTCGAGTAAAGCCCCTTAATTTGACATTACAATTGCAGAGAGAGAGGAGTTGGGTCTACCTCTCAACTCATCCTCTTTAGCAAACAGTCTAGTCTCTCTAGACTTAGACACTCATCCAAGCCTGGAGGCAACCAAATAAATCTGTAAGATTAAGTATTATACAAAGTACAGCCAAGAGAAAGTCTTCCTGTTCTCTGACTTCCACTTCTCCCAATACCCTTCCCTTCCCATGCAGTCATTGCACCCTTTTTATCTCTCACATGTGGAGGTTTGGCTTTTTATTATTCCTGAAGTTGACTGCCAAGGAGGTAGAGGTAAATTATTCCAATGTATGGCATAACCCACAAGTTATCTTGTTGAGAGACAGAAGATCAAAGTTCACATCTCTCTGCAAATGTATCAGGGGATGTGAGCCAGTATCCTTGAAAGCCAAGGCAATTGTTTAGGAAGCAGCAACCTAACTCCTTGAAACAGGACAGAACAAGACATGGCTGTGAGCCCCATCAGCTGATCTCCTTTCCTCTGCCCAGAGTTAAGCACAGAAAACCTAAGAAAGTCGAACTTAAGTACCATGTTTTCCTTGGCATTTCCTGGTGGTTATTTTAGGTTATAGAATAATATGATCATATATAATGGCTTTTGAAAAGACCTTCCAAGATTATCTAGCTCCAAACCCTCTGACATCTTCTGCCAGACCAAGTTGCTCAAAGTGCCATCCAACCCAGCCTTGAACACTTCTAGGGATGGGGCATCCACAGCTTCTCTAGGCAACCTGTGCCAGTGCCTCACCATCCTCATCATAAAAACTATCTTCCTTATATCCAATCTAAACCTGTCCCTCTCCCTAACCATACTGGCTTTCATCCAGGCTCCCAGCTTTGAGTAGGGGAACCCAGTGGCTCACCCTACACTTACCTGAGACAATTACTGCCTGCTGTGGAACTACCATCTTCACCTTCCCTTCCCTTTCCTCCCCTGTACCTGTGCATTTGCAGGGTCCAGGCTTGTACTCCAGATTTCCAGTGGCCAAGCAGTCCAGGAAAGCTGAGCTCCTGTGTCTGGGCAGAGGCAGGGAGCAAGGCATGGAGAGGAGGGGTCATTTTAAAGAGCACTCGAGCGCAGGCTCCAGTCTCCTTTGCTCGCTGTGACAGCAAAGTATCTCATTGGAAACCACAAGCTGGGACTTACCAAGTGGCCTCTGACCTTTCTCTCTCTTTTTTACCACAATTACTCACTTTTTGTGTTTGCATTTTCCAAGGAAGACGCATTTTCACTGACAGCTTCTTGGACAGCTCTGGAACGACATTTTTCTGAGGAGGGTAAGGGGTTTTTAACTCCTCTGTTTGATAGTGTTTAGAGGGTAACATTTTAAGGGGGGGAGAGGTTGGTTGGTTGAAGGCATTGTTTTGGGATCCCAAGTAATATTTGGCATGAGTTGTTCTCAAGTTAAAATAAATTAAGTGAAAGCAAATAGAAAACCAAATCACCCAGGGTTTTCAAAATTAAGAAACCTGGTTTTATTATAGGATCACTTTATTTGTTTCACTGGGCTTGCATGTCCTGTCAAGTGCTTGTACACTATACTGGCTGATGAAATTTATGGTGATGAAAAAGTGTTTTTCAAGAAAAAACTTTGGGTAGTAAGCATTTTTGAACAGAGCTTAAAATGCCATGTATTTAAATGGGTTCTGCAATGATGCAGTGAGGCAATAAACATTAAGTGCTGCATGTATTGAAAATTTTAAGTTACGGGTCTCTAAAAATACTCAGAACAACAAGATACGACTGCCAAAAGAATATGCCCTTGCCAGCTTTAAAGTTGTGGCTATTAATATGCAAAGCTAAAACTCTATGTAGAACATACAAACACATCCAGAAGTTTTGTTTTCCTTTTTTTTCTGTGTGAACAAATATACACGACACTTGCAACATTGCAGGTTTTTTGCAACAAAAGCTGTGTTAAACAACCAAGTATTCTAAAACACTAGCTATACCTTCAACTGAACCTGTCTTAAAATGGCAAGCTGCTGGGAGGTTGCTATTCTGGGACATGACTGTGATAGGTCTCAACAGATGCAGCTCCTGGAATGCAGCCGGAGCAGGGGGAGCCGGGCAGCAGCTGACCCCTGCGCTGGCACACTGGCATATCAGGGATCGCAGCTCACGTCAGCACAGCCTGACACTGATACTTTGGGCACACATGGCTTTCTCCCTTGCCTGCTCTGCACATGGTCATCACCCAGCAGCGGCAGCAGAAAACTCCTGGTGCTCACAGGCAGCAACCATTCCTTTCTATAATTAAATTATCATTTTGTTACATGCTTAAGGAAGAATTGATGCGCTGAGATTCTAGACTGAAATATTACTGAAGTCTGTTTATTATCTACAATAAAACTGTAATTAATTATCATTAATTAGCATTTCTTCATGTTCTGGGTTTTATGACTGCAAGGATCACAAAGAAAATTAACGTGTAAATTGTTTTAAAATCAGTGAATATATTGGAGATAAATGCTATATTTGCATCTATTTGAATGCTGATCTCAGTTCTGTTTAAACTGTGTTACTGAAGGTCAGTGCTTTCCTTCGAGTATATTTGCACATATATATATATATTCGTTTGAAGCAAATCCTTTGAAGACTGCTTTGAGGCTGTCTTACATTGCATTTGACAAAAATGTGGCTCTTCATTTCAGTAAGAGCTGGAACTTGCCTAGAGTTGATATATATTATTTAAATAAATGTGTTCTAATATCACTGTATGGGACTGATTCTTACCTTGACACATATAGAACTTGGTTAAAGTAACACACCCCAACTGAGTTTGCATGACATTTTTTTCAGATAGAAGTTAGACATCTTCTCCATAAATCTCCACAAAATCCAAAAAGTAGGATTATAGATTTTGAATTACTGATGCTGAAAAGCAAGCAAAGTGTGCTATGTCTAGCAAGTATTTGCATGTCTGACATGGAAAAATAGAATATCATCAGTTTACAAAATCAAAAATTACAAAAACATGGAATCAGTTTGGAGCAGATCCTAAATCTAAAATCATTATGACATCATACTAAAATCTACTTTCTCTTTATGTCTCATCTTGCTTTTTTTGTCTTTAAGAATTTCTCCCAGTCTTAATATTTCCCGGTCCAGTTCTGAACTCACCTGTAAGTCTGTACTATCCCTGGAGTAAGTTGGGGGCCCATATTTTTCCAGTGCTTCTGGCTAATGAATTCAGGTCTAGAACCTGGCTAATTTAAATACATATTTACAAAATTTTACATACTGGCAAACTCATTTGGAGAATTTAACTCTTTGAACGTGATGATAACAGGTGAATGTTAATTTGTGGTCCTGTTATTTAAAAAAAAATAAAATTACTTAATTACTTGTAGATGCATTCTTCACAATTTAAGTATTGATTGTTAATAATAAACAGCCACACTGCAATCTAGAACAGAATAATAGTTCTTAGGAAGATAGATTATTCTGTGTGTTTGGTTTTGTGGCATTAGTATGTATTGACAAAGATTAGATTTGTTGCACAATCACATAGCTATTAAATTTCACAACTGTGGTGTAGCTCTAAACATTTTAATTTAATTTTAGCAAGCTCTTGGCTGTGATATTTCATTGCAGTCATGGCTCCTAAGAAGAAGAATGTGAAAAAGAACAAAGCAGATGTCAATGAAACTACTATCATCGTGGAAGATGGCCCCCTCAGTAAACTAAATGGCTTGAATGGACTCTTGGAAGGAGGAAATGGTTTCAGCTGCATCTCATCTGAAGTTTCAGACCCATCATATTGCCCAAATCTCTTGGAAGGTCTAAGTAGAATGAGACAAGAAAATTTTCTGTGTGACTTGACTATCAGTACCAAAACCAAATCCTTTAGTGTTCATAAGGTGGTGATGGCTTCAAGCAGTGAATACTTCCACAACATCTTAAAGAAAGATCCATCCACTCAAAGAGTGGACCTCAATGATGTGTCCCCCTTGGGTCTAGCTACTGTTATCACCTATGCTTACTCTGGAAAACTTACTCTCTCACTTTATACAATAGGTAGTATTATTTCCACAGCAATTTATCTACAGATTCACACCCTTGTAAAGATGTGCTGTGATTTTCTAGTCCAAGAAATCAGTGTTGAGAACTGTATGTACATTGCTAATATTGCAGAAACGTACGGACTAAAAACAACCAAGGAAGCAGCACACAAATTTATTAGAGACAACTTCATTGAATTTTCAGAAACTGATCAGTTCCTAAAACTTACTTTTGATCAGATTAATGAACTTCTTGCAGATGATGACTTGCAGTTGCCTTCTGAAATTGTTGCATTCCAGATTGCAATAAAATGGCTGGAATTTGACCAAAAAAGAGTAAAGTTTGCTGCTAATCTCTTAAGTAACATCCGTTTTGGTACCATCTCAGCCCAAGACCTTGTCAATTATGTACAAACTGTGCCAAGAATGATGCAAGATGCAGACTGCCATAAGCTCCTAGTGGATGCCATGAACTATCACTTGCTTCCCTATCACCAGAATACACTTCAGTCCAGAAGAACAAGGATCCGTGGAGGTTTCAGAGTCTTAGTTACTGTTGGGGGACGCCCTGCTCTAACAGAGAAGTCTCTCAGCAGAGACATCTTATACAGAGATCCTGAAAACGGATGGAAGAAGCTAAGTGAAATGCCTGCTAAAAGTTTTAATCAGTGCGTCACAGTGATGGATGGATTTCTTTATGTGGCTGGTGGGGAAGACCAGAATGATGCCAGGAACCAAGCCAAGCATGCAGTCAGCAATTTCTGCAGGTAACTGGTTATTTATTTAAAAGAGATGGAGGTATCTATTCCACAGAAGGTAGGCAGATAGACTACGCTGGTTTGTGTCATGTAACATGAACCACTCAGATAAAGAGAAAGGGGACAGTGTGGGGGAGGTATAGATGCTATTCTAAATTAAAGTCTGAATGAACAGAAATATGTAACTGGAGTTACGGCAAAAAACTTCACCATGATTGCGCATGCACAATCAGAAGTGAGGAAAACCTGAGAAAACTTACTCCAAGTAGAGGAAGTAAATAGGAACATAAATAGGAAGTCCTGCGATGTTCTAAGGTACCATTAAAATGCACCAAAGCAGACAAGGTGAGAGTTTTCAAATTTTTAAAGCCTTAGATGTCTCACAGAAAGGTCTGAAAAACACCTTTTAGGTGTTAACTTCTAGTTTTAACTTTCTATGCACCATCTACTGTATTTTCAACAGCTTTTATAGTGTATTTCATACCCCTTAGCTTTTTATTAGTATCAAGAGTTTAGAAACAGCACCATTGCTTGAGGGCTTCTACAATGTACTCCGAATAACACCTCACTTCTGAAATATTGCAGTTCCAATCTACAGCCATCCTAGGACTGCACTGGTGGTAGCAAGGTCAGAAGAGTGCATAGGCTAACATACAATAGTCAAATGGGTGGTACTAGTTTTTAAATAGTTCAACCTGAAAGCTGACAGCACACAGCAGCTTGAAGGAAAGGCTGGAGGTAAAAAATCTCAGCTTTTTGTCTACTAACAGACTATGGATATACAATGGCAATACACAGCCACAGTCCTACCAATGGTTCCTTTTCTGCTCCCAGAAGGAACAGTCAACTTCTCCTGAGGACATCAACCAACATACAAAGTTAATGAATGAGGAACCTTCTCTAGATCAATTTTATTGTGTAATCTACTTAGTCAGAAAAATATATCACATAAAAGAGATTATGCTGTTGCTCTCCTGACCTGCTGCCTTTAAGCTGTGCCTCACATTCTCAAAGGAGCACACCTTGTTTGTGAGGAGGAGGTGGGGGAATCCTCATTGTCCATGGCTGAATGGATTCTGCTCCTTGTTGTGCCGTTAACCTTGAGCATGTCAAGTCACATCAGTATGTCTGTGGACTTGCAGATGACAATGCTGAACAACAGCTAAAAATTAGTGCTTACTTTCCCACAGTCTTTTTCTCAGTGATTTTCTGATCCCCTTAGCATGCAACAGGAGAAGTATGTGGATCTAGTAATGTACCTTACTCAACATCTTCAAGAGTCATAATTTGACATTTCCTATTTCAAAATTGCTTAAATATCAAGGACGAGGAATGTTATTTTAGATAGGAATGGTGTTAGAAAGCACAGATGCTCTTTTCTCATAAACTTTACTCCATATGAGTGGCAGGGAAAGCACACTCACCCTTTAGAAAGTACTAAGAAGATGCAAGTATAAATCACCAACTAACATTTTTTAATACTCTGAGTAAATTTAGACATCTTCGCTGTAGGTGTAAATTGCAAAAAAAAAAAATTTAAGTTTCTATTGTATCTTGAAAGTATCTCTTCCCAGTATTCTAATGAGATTATTGTACAAAATCAAGTTACATAAGAATTAGATTTACTTCATTGAAATAATAGGTTTTAACGACACAAATAGATTTTTCTCCAATCAAAACCTGAATTTATTTGGAAATTTAACCAAGAATACCAGTTTCATTAGACTGACTTTTCATAGGCTAAATAACTAACTAAAATTTTAGCAATTTTGCTCTTGCAGCAGTGACATGGGAATCCTGTACAGTTTAGCAGAGCACTATGTGAGACTGTTACCCTCTTTTTAATGCTTTCAGATATGATCCTCGTTTCAACAGCTGGATTCACTTGGCAAACATGAATCAGCGGCGCACCCATTTTAGCCTGAATGTGTTCAATGGCCTCCTTTTTGCCGTGGGCGGTCGCAACTCTGAGGGATGCCTCTCCTCTGTCGAATGCTACGTGCCCGCAACTAACCAGTGGCAGATGAAGGCGCCGCTGGAGGTGCCCAGGTGCTGCCACGCCAGTGCCGTGGTGGATGGTCAGATCCTGGTCACGGGAGGCTACATCAATAACGCTTACTCTCGCTCAGTGTGCATGTACGACCCCAGCAAAGACAGCTGGCAGGACAAGGCCAGCCTCAGCACCCCAAGAGGCTGGCACTGTGCAGTGTCCCTTCTGGAGAGGGTCTATGTCATGGGTGGGTCTCAGCTGGGGGGGCGAGCCGAGAGGGTTGATGTTCTCCCTGTGGAGTGTTACAGTCCTTACACAGGGCAATGGAATTACGTGGCACCACTTCAAACCGGAGTTAGTACGGCTGGTGCCTCCACCCTTAATGGGAAAATTTACTTAGTGGGTGGCTGGAATGAAATAGAGAAAAAGTACAAGAAATGCATTCAGTGCTATAACCCAGATCTCAATGAATGGACAGAGGAAGATGAGCTGCCTGAGGCCACTGTGGGCGTATCCTGCTGTACAATATCCATGCCCAACACGAAGACAAGAGAGTCCAGGGCCAGCTCAGTCTCTTCTGTCCCGGTTAGTATTTAAAGACAGGTCTAACCAGCAATAAGTTAAAAATGTTTACCAGCACAGCAGTATAATTAACCCTTTAAGTAGAATTTTTGTGCTTATATGGAAAAAAAATAATTGGCTTTGCAAACATTTTAAGAGTGCAAACTGGCTGGTTTTCATGAACTTTAGTACAGGTGGTGTGAAACAGCACATTCGGGATAAGATCAATTTTCTTAGCCTGAAGAGAGAGTTAACCCATAGCTGCAGGATTTCATTCTCTTTTTGACTGCCATTGACTTACTATGCTATCTGTGGCATATCATTTCATTTTTTTATGCCTTGGTTTGCTTACCTGTAAAATTGAGATACACTTGCTGTAGAAGATTGTTATGAGGCTTTTTAATACTAAGCTTTAAATGCTTTCAGAACCCAAAAGGAAAGTCAAATATGGCTAGTAATATATCTCAACATAGATCAGAAATGGGCAATTCATCATAAAATTGCCATAAAATTCACCAGTTTTTCATTTTCTAAGCTTTTTTTTTTTTTTTTTGACAAACAGAAGGGAAAAAAGGCAAACCAAAAATATAGCATATAGCATGTGCATACTTTCCTTTTGGGGCAGCGGTGTTCACAAAAAAATTCTCAAAGCATTTTCTCCTTCAGAATTTAGGAAGAGAACTTCATCTTCTGCCATGAAACCCTTTAATTTTTATATCAAATGCTGTGACATGGCTTTCAAGACCTGAATCCACAAAATACCTTAACTGCTGTAAGCACTTTGGGCCAGCCCCAAGAGCTACCTTGGGTGCCAGATGGCTCCCCCAACCTCTGTTTATACCAAGGAGCAGACCCACCCCATCTTCCTCCTCATGCCAGGGAGACACCCCTGTCATTGCAGGTGGGAGGCGCAAAGGCCAGTCCGTATGACTCCTCCTGTTCCTGCTCTTCCCATCTGTGTAGAAATGTATGTCTGGGTTATCTTCTCATCTGAGAAGGTCCTCACCAATGCAAGGAGCTGGGAGCTGCTGCAAGGGCAAAACATGGAAGTTGAGTTCATACCAGGAGACATCGGGGGCTCATGGCATCTGAATATGGAGAAGATGCACAGAGCAAACTCTCTTAGTATTCTGGCAAATAACTGGAGGATATAATAAAGACTTCAGGATCTGCCTTTAAGAATAGGACATGTGTGGAAAACTGAATCATGGGAAAACTTTCCTTAATAGGAACAAAGAGATACCTTAACACCTGTCTTACCAGGTGTGGGCACAACACCCAAAGTAACCTTCTCCTGGACATACCATTATGTATGTCCTTCTGAAGCCTTCATTACAGCCCTTTTTATGGAGATTTTATTCACATTATTCCAAAGGCTAGACTAACACTCTGTGTGTTGAAGTCTGTGAATTTTTCCCAGTGAGTGGAGTCTTTACTCAACTTGGATTACCTTCCAAGAACTTTTCCTCCTGACTTCAGCATGCACTGGGAGAGTTAAGCAGAAAATCTAATCCTATTCCCATAGCCAAAAGCCCATCATGTCCCCTGAGGATTTGATACCAAAAGACTGCTGTCAGCACAAAATTTCTACGTCCTTTTGTTTGGGGAGGAAATAGGGAACACAAGGAATTAAAATGACTTAATATAACCAAAAGGGCAGCAAGTCACTCACCTTTTTCTAAGGTATCCAGAGATGGTATGTAGAAATTTAAAAAACAACTATTCTGGCCTCAGATCCACGTTGGATAAAATTGTCATGAAATTGTCATATGCAAGTGGTTTGTTTTTTTTTTTTTGGAATTCAGTCTCAAAGTGCTATGAATAGTCAGATGTTGCTCCATGCTTTCCTATTTGTGAGCAAACACTTCCTGTACATTGACAACCATTTTGGTTTTGAGTAGAAAGTTATTTGTGAATGATGGGCTAAGTGCAATGAAACTAATTTCTACTACTTAAAGGGTTAAAAACTTTGGGGGCCAAATCCTTTTCATCTTACTCACAAAAATGGTTCCATTGATTTCAGTGGGACTACTGAATAAGATGTACAGGATTTTGAACTCTTGGCCAAATTCTCGCAGAACAGTAGATAAAGATGCTTGCTAAAAGTGTCATACCCAGAAGGAAGACTGTCCTCTGCCTCCACTGCCCTTCACCACAACAAATCCACGAAGGCATGTCCTAGGAGCCAAATACCAATGGCCACGTGTTCCTTCTGTAGCATAAGTTAGGTATGTACTTTAGGACAAAAATCCTACACAGATTAAGAAATGTTATTGTTATCAGTATAACACTTCAGGGTGGCTTTATATTATTTTCTCTAAACATCTGTTTAGGCTTCAACTGCACATTGAGCCAGAATTTGGCCCTTGATATGTGACACTATTAGCTGGACTTAATATTATGTTGATCATGCCATGTACTGAGCTATTTGTGATATTTTTATGTATGATCTTGTATTGTTAGAACTGTGAAAATTATTTGTATGGTGTGTTTTATGGGACAGTGTTCTTTCATTGTCCAGTACTGCATTTTCAATCTTCTGATGTTTAATAACAACATGTCAGTTGAACTCGAAATATTGTATATCCCCAAAAGAAGTTTTAAAATACAGTTTAGGAAGTACTGTATACATTAATATTAAGTAGAACAGAGGACTTCTAACTGTATGAGATGTAGACTGTTAAAGCACTACAAGGGTCTTCTTTAATGATATATTTGTAGTAGTAGGAAAAAAAATATATAAGCCATTATCCTCAGAATTCCTTATAAAATGCCCATGCATTTTATAGTCAGCATCTGTGCTTCAAATTCAAATCTGAAAAATAAGCTTTCTTCAGTCTGTGAGTGAAGCAGTTGGCTAAGGTTTGTTTTCTTGTTTATTCATGATTGTTTAGGCGCATGGGAGAGTGTGTTACAAGGTTGTGAGGGAGGAACTTACTGTTGTAGAGTTGTGCCGAAAGGAAGATGTTGTGCTTAGTTCTTAATTGAGATGAGATCATGATTGTTTAACCTCTTCTTAAAGTTAACCTTCAAGATCATCTGTGGATCAGTCAAGAGTCCAGTAAACTTAAATGCCAACTTCTAGCTGGTCAAAGAGGGAAGCAGATAAAATTAACATCAACAAAACCAAATGAGGTGTTCAAAAGTGCTTTGTGTTGAGATTTTTTAAATGGCAGTTTTTGCAGGAAAAAGTATGTGATAAATGAAATGACTGAGTAAGACCATGCTTTATATTATCCTGAAACCTAGATTAGTTTATCTCGTGATTGTAACTCTTCCCAAACCATAGTGGTTTTAGAGGGAGTTTTTCCTTAGTAGCAGCTGGGTTTGGTAATTCTAGTTGCAAACCCAACAGTCACACAAACAGTTTTATGAGCATGCGCACCTTCTTGAATTCAGTGGGGCTTCTGCTATATACAGTTATTCTCATGGATTTATATTTGGAAAATTAAAATACAAGAACTAAATCCATGAGGAGACAAACATCAATGTTAGTGACAGCCAACATGAATGTATTAGACTGATCCTCAACATGACCATTCACTTACCATGCTGGCGCATGACATTTTTTTGAGACTCAATTACCCCATAAGGATATTATTTCCTGGGGAATTGTTGCTCAATGAAATCCTATGTATGCTCCAAGGATTTTTATGCAACACACAGGATGGGAGATGCTTGAGGCTCCAGTTAGTAGAAAGGGGAAGATCGAGACACTTATAACAATCAGTAGACTGAGATTTTGTTAGCAATTCTCAAGAATGTTTGAGAAAAATGTGCTGGAAATAAGCACCTACTTCAACACATAGCTTTCTATAAGCAGCTTTGCTTATGTTGCATGACTGAGATGGGCTCCATGACTGAGATTTTTCTAATGAAAAGCAAGGCTCAATTTTCAATTGCCTGTAACTTCAGTTCTCATTTGAACTCAATTTTCAATCCATTTTAACCTATTTACCCAGGCTGAGAGATCTTGTTCCAAGTCTGGATTCACTCAGAGAATGCGATTAAAGCCAATAGTCCTCGTATAGTTCCTTGGGCTTTTTGCAATTATCTTCTCATCTTTTTGCATAAGTACTCAAAAACATTGTAATGCACAGATTTATACTTTGATTCCTCCTTGCAAGAGGAAGATCTCTTGTCTCTATTAGTTTCTCTTTTCTTATCCATAACTGAGTGACTAACAGGGCACCAAAGGAGATGCACAGATGTGAACAGCACATAAAAGCTCTGATTTTAAAAATCTCATTGCTGGTGGCCACAATAAAGAAAAGGACACACTCTGAAATGCCTGCTGAAAAGAAAAGGGTGAAAAATTAGTTACTGGTGCTCATTTGCAAGTGTGACGCTGCTCAGAACTCTGTTCCCAGGAATTTCCTAAAGAATAAAGGAAAATAGATGCAATTCTATATAGCTGGTATAGCTGGTATAGCTGGTATGAGAGATTTGGTTAATGCCATATGAGTCTTGCCATGCAAAGGACATACTTGTCTCAATGAAAATTTTCAATAACAATATAGGCAATCGATAAACTTATAAGAAATATATAGTCAGTTTCTGTTGGTAGAATGGGAACACACACACTTATATAAACTGGATGTTATGCTAGTTGCAGCCTTGGCAGTTTTTTTGTCAACAAGAAAAAATATTAACTTATTTGTATAAAGCATTTTCCTAGTTTGTTAAGTGCTAGACATATTGCTTATACAGAAGGGTTTTCTAACTGTACAGTTTAAGGATGGACTGTGATAACACAAGGGAACATATTTCAACAGAAAAAAAATCTGTAAGTGTAATGTGAGAATGTTACTACTTAAAAATTAAAATTTGTAGTGCAGCAGTTGTTAGGAGGAAAACAGCATGTTGGTATTTTTCATTGTGTGCTTTAAATAAAGCTGGCGACACATGGTGCAAACCAATTATTCATATTGTAAAATCAGTTGGAAACTGCGAGACTGTATGTCTAACGAACGCCTGGTTGCAGTTGAAATATGCTTTGTTTTCTGAGCCCCGGGCTGATCCTTGCTTTCATATCAGCCAACTGGAATGTTTGTTACACCCGGACTGTCAAACCACCTTCACAATAAGCTGTATAGTGTGACACTGGAGCCATTTTTATCTTTTCTATTTCATTACAAGGACAACAACTTGCTTTTTAACAATAAATTTCACAGTCTTTTGTTGTAATCAAAACAAGAAGTGATGATAAATCAGATGTCTGATTAGTAACTGAACATGTTTTCATTTGGATTGTATGAGTAACAGTATAAAAAATAAAAACATCTAAATTTCAAGGAAAAAAATAGTCCAGATTCTGAAGAGCAAATAAGTTGAGCCACAGATGAGAGGATCTGAGATGCCAAAAATCATTCCACATGTTTTAACACCAAGGGCTTGTTTCAAAGTGTGATTCTGTAGATTTGGCAGATGTCACAACCTGAAGGGTTACCCAGCCTGCAGCTGTGCAGAGATCATGACTGTGCATTCCTAGGATTCTGTAATACACAAGGATGCAGAGGCTTTGTCCTCTAAAATATTCTACTTTATTACAGATTACCACAAAAGTCACTGCTAGCAAATATACTGGTAGTTAATAAAGCTAATATGATGATTAGTAAAGTCAATATGAATGAATATATGTCAAGCTACTAAAAATTATTATCAATAATACAGTATCAATTAATAGTATGGTGTCAAACAATACTAGCTTCCAGCAGTGTAGTACAACCAATGATAACAACAACCAAGTAGGTATATACTATTACAATTACCATAACTTATCACCAGTGAAGAAAATTTATCAACAATAATAGTAAATATACTTCATATATATTACATTTACATGAAGAAAATTAGACAGACTTAAGAAGCAGCCAAACCATCTCAAAAGGGAGGAATAAACTGATTCTGGAGGGGACATCCAACCAACCCCAAAAGAGGGGAGCACAGATACAAGCAGCAAGAGAAAAGACAGAGTCTCCCTTCCAGATAGATCCCTGACACAGAGTCTGGAATCAGCCAGACTGGAATCCCCAGTGAGAGTCCAAGTGCTTGTGGACACTTCATGTGGGATTCAGCTGGAAAGTTCTCAGAAAGAGACTCCATTTTGGATAAAAATTAAGTCCTTTTTATAACAAAGAGACTTAAGCATGTGTAGGAGATCCTACTTTGAGCGGTTAATAGATGATGTTAATTTCTGGTTTTCATCTCTAACAGCCAATAGATGATTCTGTTTTCTATTTTTCCAAAGCAATTTTATATTTCTATGTTGTTTTCCATTTTCTCAGATGTTAAGTTGTCCTTGCAGTCTCTTGGTCTTTTATTTAGTGCTACCTTGGGATGTCTCTGGTTTCTAGGCCCCCAGCTGCACTTTTCAAGGATGTTTGTGATTCCTAGGCCTAGTCTTCAGCCTCACAGTCCCATGCTGGCTGACATTTCTCCATCAGGAGTTTCAACAGACAATTTCTTCTGTGCAGCAATGTTCCTCTTCTAACCTTCTAACAGCAGGTGAGCCAAGGCAGCAGGGTGAGCCTGATGGCTATGAACCAGGACCCATGCACATCTGGAGCAGCAGCTGGGCTCCTTAGGGCACCTGAAAAGCTGCTACATGCCTGTGGCTGTGCTCACCTGTGCATCAAGTCAGGGGGTCAGGACTCAGTTGTCTGCATGTACGTTGTGCAGATGCCCCAGGTGCTGCAGAGCATCTCAAATGGCACTAGGTGTCAACTTGTGGGCAGTTAAGTCAAGTCTGGAGAAAGGGATTTATTTGCCCCTTTAGTCCCTGCACAGCAGTCCAGAAGTGCATGGCTGTCCTGTGTGTATGCTAATATGTCCACTGGTCCTGGCTGCCTTGGGTACCTTCAGTGATGATGATTTTGAGGAAATAAGAGGGATGATTTTGCTTCAAAATTCAGGGGTGATTTTGAGGAGTCAAGCCATGAGTCTGTATTGTAAAAACTGCTAGAAAGACAGAACTTAAAATTAGACTAAGATATAAAAGCAAAAATATTTTAAGCAAGTCTTGACAATGCTAAAGCAAACACAGATTAAAGTAGAAACTATCTGGATTCTTTTTTTCTTAAAATATTTGCCTTGTTTCTTAAGGGTCTGAGAAATCTTTATTGCAGATATATTTCAGAGCTTACTATGTCATCATTTTCCTTTCAAAAACACTGAAATAATATGAGTGAAATATTTACTTAGCAAAAGCTGGTTTTCTGTAAATTATCCATAATTTAGCTATAGGTCTTGCATAGATTTATGGTGTCCATTGTAACAACTAAACCCCAATACGTAGAGGGTATAAACTGGTATGCTGCTTCTTTCTGTGAAATGTTTATAAGGTAAATGTTACCCAAGCCTATGGCAACATGTTATTTTTTCATTTGAAGGACACCGTGCATTCTTTAAGTAGAATCCCTATATAGCACAGGAAGTTCCACCTGAATATGAAAAAGAACTTTATTTCCACGTGTGACCACGCAGTGGAACAGATTGCCCAGAGAAGTTGTGGAGTCTCCCTCACTGGAGATATTCCAGAATTGCCTGGATGCAATCCTGTGCCATATGCTCTAGGATGCCCTTGGTTAAGCAGGGAGGTTGGACTAGAGGATCCACTGTGGTCCCTTCCAACCTGATCCATTCTGTGACTCTGTGACTCTGTAGTCATGTGAGAATAGCTGAGTAGTCAGAATTCTGCTGAATTTAATTACAGACAAATCGAACAGACTGCTTTTTTGGTGTTATTTATATATGGGATTATTCTGAGCCAAACAGTAAATTTGTTGAAGTTACTTATCTAAAGGAAGAGAATAAATTGAGATTAAAGGTCTTGCAGCCTGTAGCTTGTGTTCTTATCACTGAAACCGGCCACAGAACAAATCACGACTTCTCATTCTATGTTGAGTATTGCCAGGGTGCAAATGGTTATTCAGGGAATGTCTGCGATAAAGCAGCACACTGAAGAGCTGCTCAGATAACCAGGCGTACCTTGTTGCTTTCCTGAAGGTAGCAAAGCTTGCCTTCCTCAGCCTACCTTAATGTCAGCTTCTTGTCTTTAGTCAAGGACGCACGGCTCGCCCAGTAAATTAAATTCCATCTTCAATTCGGCGCCAGATCCTCAAGCATCCCGATGGAGCATCACTCTACGCGGGATCTCCCCTTAAGGGCTTTGTTCCCCTAAGTTGTTTCGGGAAGGAGACACTGGAGGGCACCAGAGGGCCGGAGCTGGCGGCCCCGGGGCGGTCGGGGTGGGCGCAGCCGAAGACGGTCCCCTGCGGCTGCAGCTGGAGCCGAAGCGTCCCTGCCGGCGTGGGCGTGATGCCGTGCTGCGGCATGTCCATCCATCGTCCGCAAACATGCGGAGAAAAGATTCGCACCTCTGGAGGATCCCAACAGGCTGGTGCCAGAATTCGAAAAATGCAGCGTAATTCAATGAGGATGAGATGAAAAATTCACATTCGCTGAAATCAAAGTGCACAATGGTGCGTGAGGTTTGACAGCACCAGGAAAAGGCTTCTCGGCTTCAGAATGAATTTTTGGTTATCTCAAGAGTACCATCCCTCTTTCACAGGGAAAAGGATACAGCCTTGACTGGGGAATATATGTGTCTTTCATCTTTTTGGCTCACACCAGGAACTTGGTCTGCGTGTTTCAGATACATGATCTCTCCATCAAGTTTTTCAGTCTCCTCTGTCAGAGCTGTTCCAATTTGAATACGTAATTTAATATTTACCGCTGTTGCAGGGATGTGTATGTGAATACATTTCTTTTCAGCTTCCCAAACTGGTGCCCTAAATGTTGATATCTCAGCTCAGGAAAAGTTCTTGCAAGAACATATTTTGCTTTCATCCCAGTGCAGTATGAACACATTTTTTAAATTACTGACATTTAGCAGATGGGAAAAACAGTTATTTCCTATGTTGCTGCGAGAATGGTGCAGCCAACAGATTCCTGGCCCAGCTGCTGCTCTGAAGCTTTTATGCTGGTCATTGCATATACTTGAGAGTTCAGCCAGTGAATTATGGTTTGCTATAATAAGAAGATTTTGCTTTCCATTAGATCACACTCAGAGGAACAATAGCAAACGCACCGAAGCAGTAAAAGTGGCCATCAGTGACATTTCAGGGTCTCTTTGCTTCATTGCTGATGTCAAACAAGTTCTGGTAAAAGGATACCTTGGCCACATTGCCAGAAGTAACAGATCAGCTCTTCTGAAGGATAAACAGATGAACTGCTGGTCAGGTGAACTGCAAAGCACTTAGACTCCAAAGGAATCTTAACAAAGCTGAAAAAAATGAAAGTGAAGATCATAAATCATGTATAAAACTCAATGCAGAGCTCTCTTATGGTGTTATATGAGTACTAAATAACACCCTAAGCTGTTAGCGGCAGCTTGAATTCTTCTTTTTCAAAACTCCCTTTGAACAAAAAAATATGTCTATCTCCTGGATCAAAATTGTTGCAGTGAGTCACAGAAAAGAGTTTGGTTCACCCAGCAGAAGCAGAGCAGGAGGATAGGTCACTTTGGGTCATGCTACCAGAAGCAGGATCTGTTCATATGAGAAGTAAGTGTTCAAAGAATTCCCGTATGATATCTCTTTGGAAGGGCAGACCACTTAAAAAAAGGCCAGATCAATCATGCAAGTCATGCAGCTGAGGAGTTGCAGGCATTACCTTCTGTGTAACCTAAATGCTTTCAGATCTGCCACCGCTCCTTTGAAACACCCAGGGCAACCCAAGGTCAGAAAGCAGAGATTTAGGCATCTATATATGCACTAAATGTTAAACCTCCAGTTACAGGCAATACAGCCAAAAGTACAAAATCAGCCAATTCAGGCACATGAAGTGATTTATTTGGTCACCCACAAGTCCTACTTTGGAAAGACATGAGTTGCCCTTGAGGCTTTGTTGACTGTATTGGCTAGAGACAAGCTTCATACATAAATGTCCAGCACTGCTCAGGAGCACTGGGAAAGTGTCCTGTCTGGTATCCAGCCATCCCAAAAGGACATGGATTTCCCTTACGTTGTAAGTGTCAGCCGTGTCTCAGACTTCTGAAATACTTACAAAAGCACCAATATTTAGGCAACTGAATCAAGGCACTAGCCTCCATAGTAAAAAAAATAGCAAGCATATTTTTATCCATACCTACATGTAGGCACATGTAGGGCCTCCACCTTGAACTGAATTCCACCTGGATATTACCTGCTTTTCTCTGCATTTGAAAATTTTGTTGTCTTGAAGCTTCATTTTGAGGCTGTCATGTCTTTTTATTTTAGCTGCTCTCACACTTTGTTTCACT